TATGGTATTCTGTAGCTGGCGAGTCATATCCGTTATCAATATCATCATTGTAAAACCTTCATGCACAATATAAAGCACTTTTCAGCCGTAAAGCAATTTGAAATTAAAGTGGAAATCAATAAAGAGTTCATCAGAAGATAAGGTTTAGTGCATTTGCACACACATGCACACACAGAAAGCCAAGTATATCGGCGTATTAGCCAATTAAGTATGTAATAGGATAGAAGCTCAGCAGGAAATATGATGTACACTTTTGAAAACAGGCTATAATGAAAGTGCTGCAAAAGGCATAAAAGTAAAGCTGAATGGTTATGTTTAGGATATATCAGGTTAGAATGAGCCCGGTCTTGCAGGCTGACTTCAGTGCCCTCTGTTCTCATGTCAGTGAGAGTCATTGGCACGCATTTTAAATTTTAATATTGGGTAATCTTTGAAACAATTGAATATTCTGCTCATCTTCAAAAAATAAACACATTTTTTATTCTCCTAATGATTCTTTGGATATTTTAAAACAGTGAAGGAAATAATAATGAAGAAATGCAAACAAAAACTTTATGCTTCCAAATTCTTCTTTAGCATAGTGAACTTCTGTATTTTTTAAGGTATGTGTATATGTATGCATATATATATACATATATATATGTGGCTATGTACAGAAAAAAAACCCACATATTTAAGTTGATGTGACTACCTCGTCATAAAAACTGGAACCTTGAAATATCTGTTTCCAACTTAATGGGTAACTTTCATATTAAAGTATCGTAATTCTTACCCAAAGAATGACTGAAGGAAAGTGAGATTTCAATGGTTCTTCCACTCCTTTTTGTGTTTCTCTTTTGCACTGTCTCCTACCTTACCATCAGTAACAGCCACCTACGTTCCTCATGTCCCTGTTTTCCAATTCAAAGGAACAGTTTTATTTCTTATGTTTTCTAATATACAATCCTTTCATTTCCCCTGTTAGAAGGGAGGCTGTACATTTATTAGAGGTCAGCTAAATACCACGGTGAGCACTTCTTACATTCTACAGTTTTCCAAATGAGATTATACTTTTGTTACCTGTTCATTCAGATTATCCTGTCACATAAGAAATGAAATCTTCCTTTTTTTTGTTGAATGTTTTATGTTTTTCAATATGTCAGCAGCAGCTTATTATTCTAAATACCAACAATAGCTCATACCGTGGACCTTCTTGAGCAAAGGTGTTTTTATGGGTGTTTTATGGTGTTTTATGCATTGTTTAACAATGCCATAGACGAAAAATATTTGTTGCCTTCAAGGAAGATCTATTCATTTATCAGAATTTGTATTCTGCTTACTGACTGAAAATACAGTCATCTTTAAAATGCAGTATGGATATAAACATATTTTTGTTTGTATTATTCCATGATTCAACAGAAACTCAAACAGCAAGGTTATTAAAAAGTGTAGGTTTTGATCCAATCCACTTGTGAGCTACATATGTCACCTTCTCTGAATATAGCCTCTTAAATTAATATTCTATCATTGCTCAACCCAAAGGTACTTGAGTTCTCAATAGGTGAGTCAGTAAGGGAGTGGCAGCAACAGAGATAAGCAAAACCAACACTTTCATAGGTTCTCAGACCTAAAATGCTGATCTTCTTTGGCCTTTGATCCGTGAAAAAAAAAAAAAGTTTATGTCAGGCTAACCTGCTGTAGTTTAGTGCAAAGGACATACTAAATCACAGAGGGAAAAAGCCCTCCCAGATGACCTCTGAACTCGTTTCAGAATTCCTTTTAGTTGAAGCCCTATGGGTTTGATGAATTTATTTTTCATCAGTGCCCAAAATAGGATAGGCCCATTTCAAATACTAAAGATGCAAAGCTCATAACTGGTAGAGAAAACATGACTGATTGACATGAACCAGCTCCTGTCCAACAAATTCATGAAAAAAGTCATTCTGCAGCTAGCCCAGATTGCGAAAATGAATCCAAGGTTAACAATAGTAATATGGATCACTTGCCTATTAATCAGCTCAGTCTTATGGACCACCAACCATGTAAGTGTATTTTTAATAGTCTTAATATAAGTTTATATAATTATAACTTCTGGGATTTTGACTACATAGCCAGGACATGTAACTAATATTTAAAGGACCTTTTGAAAACCTCTGTATAGAGTATTTCAGAACTTCAGCTGAAACTTTGAAACTGAAAGTCTGAAAAACAGCACAAGTACTTCTCAATTTCAAAGCAACATAATATTTTATTTTAAATTCCCACACATTAATTATTTAACCAACCTTATACCTTTTAAAATGCCAAATTTGTACTTTATAAGGAAACAAAATGTAATTGTTCAGTTAGTCTAACTGGTGAAGTTCCTTTTTCTTCCAAGAAAATACTGGGGAAAAAAAAAAAGGATAAGCGAGTCTAGGAAAGAGAAGGTTGTAGGAAGAACAGCGCTTGAGTGTTGACTAGATATAGAAGACGTTAGGACAGAGGAAGATAATACTTTTTTGTGAATTTCCCACCTGGAAATGACTAGAAAGTTTAAGTTCAACAAGGAAAACATAAGCTATATGTATGAAAAATAGCAAGTGTAGATTAATTAATGGCATGAGAGTTTAGCAGAGAAATATGTTATACTCCATAACTTAGGAATCTTGAGGTTTCAAGAGTTTAGCCATTTGTCAACACAGCAGATGAATGGACACTTGTACTTTTCCATGGTTTAGCAAGGAAGTGGTGACAGGAACGCTACATCCTCAAGTGAAAGGTAAGTTTTATGTGGAACTGGCTATCTCAGTGTCAACCTCATGCAGATTTTATTTCCTCATAACTGAAATAATTTAGTTCAACCATGACTGGCTTCTTCAAAATCAGACTCAGTGCCTTGTCTCCCTAAGTACTGAGCTGACTTCACATAACACCTGTACCTTTCCAGTAGTAAAAAGTGTGGCTGAGGTCTTTAGGAAAAGACATATAGAGAACATAGGCAGAGCCATAGAATGACATGGGCAGAAAATTCAAATGCTGTTTCTGCTTAAAGTGGGCTTTCAAGATGTTTGGCACAACTTTCTAGTCCTACTTGTAACAGAGATCTCCTTGTGTCCTAATCAGTGCTTCTGGGTTGGAAATCAGTTAAGGGTCTTACCAGGAGATACATTACCCAAACAAGTTCCAGTCTACTTAACTACTTTAACACACCTATATTAAATGTTTCATTTTAAATTTGTGAGGTTTATTTTGAAGCCAAGGACTTCAAAAGGTGTCAGCTTTATCTAGTGTTGAGGTTGAGATATGTAAAGGCATGAATGGCTGTTGGTATACCTGTTTATCTTAAAAGGCATGGGACAATATAGGAAGGTGATGGGTCTGCTTCAGCATTTATCACTTTAAGAACTCCTCCTCCTCAGATACTGGAAATCAAAAAGATTTAGTTTGCCAGGACAAAATGGAGATGACTGCGTGTGTGTAGTCAATATTGTTTGCAAATTAATGACCTCAGCTGTGTACTGTATTTTTAGCTATTCATGAAAACTGCCAAATGGTGACACACTCATCTGATTAGTCCTGGCTCACTCTGCATGAGACTGGGTATGGCTTTGCAAGCCTGGACAGCTGTCTCAAGAATGACATATTATTTAATGTGATACCCAGAGATTAATAATTAATCTCATTAATAAAATATCCTGAAAGATAATGGAGTTTATGGAACAGATCTTCAGATCTCGTCTCAAGAAAACTGTACTCATTAATTTCTTCTGTTTTTTTTTTTTATTTTACTCAGTAATATTGACAATTTTTAAAAATACAGTTGTTTACTGTTGATGAAAAATATGACGTTGTAATTCAGTTAAGAGCTTGGCCTTACCAGTAGGTAGGTTATCAGCCACAGACATGTTTGTCTTCAACTCTTCTGTCTTCTTAAATAGCTGGTATGTTACTGTTGCATAGAGGGCTGATGATCATGTAACATGGTTGTTGCTCTGTGCTGTTACTCTTCTTCTTCCTGTGCTGGATGCCTGAGAACTTCAGCGCTGGTGAGGAAAGGAGTAAGTGGGCTGGCACTCAGGAACCTTGAGGGATGGGAAGAAGAAATCTGGCTTGTTTGTGTGGTGCACAGAACCCTCGCTCTAACCAGAATATTAGTTGTTGGAGATTTTGTGTCCCACTCCCTCTAGTTTTTCTATTAGTTACTGTTAGCTCAGCATTTGATCCCAGGAAAGATAAATACATAGGAAGGATTAGTATACTACAGTCTAAGGGTTCATATCTATTTTTTGTATGCATATTTGTATGCATGTATTAATGTATATACAAGCCAAATGAAAGGAATGAGGAAGCTTACTTACAAAACTCCCAATTAGATATTAGAATTAGATGTCTTCTCTTCAGCTATGACACAGACTGCTTGGTCCTATCACATTTTTGCATACTGTAAGGTACTGATCTGAAATCCAATAGTTCATGAAGATTGATTTGATGACTGCAGTCACCAAGTTGCCATCAGTTAGCACAGACACGAATAGAGCAGAAAAGGTAATGAGCAATGCCCTTCCTGAGCTGGAACTCAGCTGGGAGTTTTATTGGACATAGAGAGGTTCAATTCAGGAGTGGGAGATGGGGTTTCCAGCATACGGCCCTGCAGGGATCCGAAAATCTCTTTGCCCTAGCTCTCATGTCGTCATGCTTCTCAATGTTACCTCTTTTTTATTCATTTCAGCTGGACATGATGATGAAGTTGGAGAGCATCATTTATTTTAATTAGGTCTTTGCATGGCACCTCCACATCAGTAGATTGCAAAATGAGGTGTATACTTTTCTGTGAGCTAGGAGCAATCTGATTAAAGCTTGGAAAACTGAAAAATGCTCAGAGCCATAGGACAAGAGTTGGTTTCTTTTGTTGATTTACCATGTAATTTATCGAAAGTTATTACCAGATGTGTTTTCTCAGCTGTGTACTTTATTTTTAGCTATTCATGAAAATTACCAAATGGTGACACACTCATCTGTTTAGTCCTGGCTCAATTGGGCATGGCTTTGCAAGCCTGGGCAGCTGTCTCAAGAATGAAGACTGGCACTCAGCTGAATAACCATTTTCATGGAAGCTTTGTCAGTGGATTTAAATGTTGATTTCTTGAGTTTTTCACTCACACGTGTACCCTAATAGGAATAGTGTATAATATTTTATTTTAGTGTAGAAATATTTTATGCATTTTATTTTCTAAAGAATCACAGTTTCTTGCTCAAATATAGGTTGTCAGAGTAGAATTTTATGTGTAACCTTCAATAATCTTAGTTAACATCTTTCTATTCTTCTCCAAAATCTCTCTGCTGAAGTGAGTCTTATTGATTTTATTTACTTTATAGCCAATTTACTTTAAAACTAAGCTTGGACACTAAAAGTGTCCAGACCTACATAACCTCCTTTTGCTTTTTTTTTTTTTTCCAGGAAACTTTAAAAAGGGAAAAATCCAGTTGAAGATAAATGTGGTTTATTTTAGCAAATACCTACAGAAGATCTGTTACAGGTCACCTGAGCAAGAAGAACCGGTGGATGAAACACTCTATAGACAGATAGGAAAAGCCTCACGCTCACAGGCCCTTGTTCTCATGGGAGACTTCAACAACCCTGACATCTGCTGGAATGACAGTACGGTCCAGCACAAGCAATCCAGGAGGTTACTCAATTGTGTGGAAGACAACTTCCTTCTGCAAGTAATAGAGGAGCCGACAAGGAGAGGTGCCATGCTTGACCTCGTGCTTACCAACAGGGAAGGGCTCGTTGGAAATGTGACGCTCTAGGGCAGCCTTGGATGCAGTGATCACGAGATGGTCGAACTCAAGATCCTCAGGACAGTGAGAAGAGCGTGCAGCAAGCTCACTGCCTTAGACTTCAAGAGAGCAGACTTTGGCCTCTTCAGCAACCTGCTTAGGAAGGTTCCATGGGCTATACCCCTAGAGGGCAGGGGGGCCCAAGACTGTTGGTTGATATTCAAGGATCACCTGCTACAAGCTCAGGAGTGTTGCGTCCCGACTAGAAGGCAGTGCAGCAGGAGGGCCAGGAGACCTCCTTGGATGGATAAGGAGCTGCTGAGGAAAATTCAAATGAAAAAAAAAAGGCTTATAAAAGGTGGAAGCAAGGACAGGCTGCCTGGGAAGAGTACAGGGATGTTGTCCGGGAAGCTAGGGACCAGGTTACGAAAGCTAAGGCCCAGTTAGAGTTAAACTTGGCTAGGGATGTTAAGGATAACAGGAAGGGACTCTATAGGTATGTAGCGAATAAAAAACAGGCTAGGGAGAATGTAGGCCCCCTCAGGAAGGTCTCGGGTAGCTAGCTACACAGGATTTGGAGAAGGCTGAGGTTCTGAATGACTTCTTTGCCTCAGTCTTCACTGGCAAAGGCTCTGACCGCACCACCCAAGTCTTGAAAGACAGATGCAGGGACTGTGAGAATGAAGACCTTGGGCCCACTGTAGAAGAGGATCTGGTTCGAGACCATTTTAAGAACCTGAACATACACAAATCCATGGGACCTGATGAAATCCATCCATGGGTCCTGAAGGAGCTGGTGAATGAAATTGCTAAGCCACTTTCCCTCATATTAGAAAGCCTTGGGTGATATGGTTTAGTGTGAGGTGTCCCTGTCCATGGCAGGGGGGGTGGAACTAGATGATCTTCAGGTCCTTTCCAACCCTAACTATTCTATGATTCTATGATTCTGAAGACAGTGATTGGTCTGATTGCTAGTTAACATCCTTTAATAATACTAACGTTATTACAGAAGACATTCTAGGTAATGTTCATGAACATCCATGGGCAGGGACACCTCGCTCTAAACCATATCACCCAAAGCCTCATCCAACCTGGCCTTGGACACTGCCAGGGATGGAGCATTCACAACCTCCCTGGGCAACCCATTCCAGTGTCTCGCCACCCTCACAGGAAAGAATTTCCTCCTTATATCCAATCTAAATTTCCCCTGTTTAAGTTTTAACCCATTACCCCTTGTCCTATCACTACAGTCCCTAATGAAGAGTCCATCCCCAGCATCCCTATAGGCCCCCTTCAGATACTGGAAGGCTGCTATGTGGTCTCCATGCAGCCTTCTCTTCTCCAGGCTGAACAGTCCCAACTTTCTCAGCCAGTCTTCATTTGGGAGGTGCTCCAGTGCCCTGATCATCCTTGTGGCTCTCCTCTGGACTTGTTCCAACAGTTCCATGTCCTTTTTATGTTGAGGACACCAGAACTGCACACAATAGTCCAAGTGAGGTCTCATGAGAGCAGAATAAAGGGGCAGGATCACCTCCTTCAACCTGCTGGTCATGCTCCTTTTGATGCAGCCCAGGATACAGTTGGCTTTCTGGGCTGCAAGCACACACTGCTGGCTCATGTTCATCAAACTGAAGTATTTTGATTTTCAGCTGGATTGGACTCTAATGTGAGCTTCATAAAAACATCTATGTAAAGATATATAGCATTACCTCATTAAGACAGAATGGATAACTTTGGAGTAAATTCCTTCTCAGAGGGTTAGATAAATATAGCCACAGTCGATTTCTCTGGCTAAAAATCTGTGCAGTGATAATCTCAAAACGCTTCCTTGGTCCACTTCTTTTCTCAACATCAATAGCAGAAATGCTCTCTATCACTCACCATCATGACAAATGCTGGCAAAAATGACTGAAAGAGAATGGGAAGATTTTTGGTGTGTGAAATTTTATCCACCCTATGTATACATAGATGTCATTCAAGTGCCAAATTCTTCATATGTATGTCTACTTTAAACTTCCCATCATTCAAATTGCCAGCATTAGCCAAACCCCAACTCACTTATCTGTGTAGCTGTAGTAGTCCCGTGCCAGTCAACTTAAAAATGCATGATTTTAAAGGAATTGAAAGGAAGTCACTGAACAGTATGTGTGCAAATTCCTCTCCTTTCCTAAAACACTTACACAGATCTTCAGTGAAGAAAGTGTTTGAACACACCAGAAATGTATTCACAAAACAATGAAAAAACTGCGTTAGGGAAAAAAAAAAAACAAAGGGAAAAAAAAAAAAAAAAGGAAGAAAAAGAGTTTTCACACCGCAAGAAATATAACACAGACTGCCCAGTGTATCTCAGGGTCTGTTTTCACTTACTTGTACAAGTCCCCCAGGCCAGGTCCAAAAAAGCATTTATGTATTTAATCCCCACTGAAAACTCTTCATTGAGAGCAAGTCTTGAGAGTTTTAAAAACTTCAACCTTAAAGTATGCATAACTGCATAAAAATCATTTTATATGAAGCTACGGTCAAAGTCTTATTTTCAAGATACATTTTACCTTCCCCATCCACTCAGTTTACGACCAGTAGATGCCGCTGTGCCCTAAGGAAGAAAATGAAGGACAGCCTCACAGCTGCCTTTAAATCCTCGCATAAACAATTTTAGAAAGCCTGTGTTGACTGAAACACTGTAATTTCTTTAAGTGTTTTTTTTTTTTTTTGTAACCAGACACAGCTAGACTATTAATAAGAACAATTCCCTGAAGCATGGAGTTTAGCTCAAGAGGGTTAAAACACTTTGAGGTGTCACAGCTGTTTGCAGAACTGGTGCTAAAAGCTGATTGAGTTTTCAGCCAGGCAGAATCTCCCCTGCACAGCAGGAGCATCCCTTGGCAGCATCCCTGCTCCATGTAAGATGGCAGCTTCTGCTTTCGCACTCTTTCTTTCTTGCAAAAGATCAGGCAATGTGTTCATTGTAATGCTGCCTATTGCTTTCTTAACTAGCCTGTTAACATGATTGGTTAAGGCACTGTGTTACTTTTCCATATAAATGACGTAGGAGGCACAAAGACATCATAAAGTTAAGATGCCTTCTTGCAGCTGGCAGGTTCAGGCTTCTGCAGAGCTGAGTTTGTTGGGAATGCCTGCTTTTCTGGAGGAAGTAAGACTTGAGTTGAAAATACCAGGAAAAAAATGTATTTCTTACAACCTAGGCTGAATAGTAAAAACACACTTTCAGCAATGAACTGCTTTAAGTGCTGAAATTCTAATTTCCTAGCACCATTCATAATGATGGGTAACTGAATGCTCATGAGGAGAAAAACAATCTTCTGGTATTCCCAGGAGGAAGAAGAGGAGGGGCTGGATAACCTAATGGTGCTTTTGTGGCTGCAGCTGGTAATATTCAGCAAAGAATAACAAAACCTAGTTAAAATAGCTCAGAGCATTGAACACGATTTCATTATCACAAAATGACAGTCATTAACAGGAAAAGGGACATATTTTTGGGGTTTGTTTTTTTTTCCTTCTTAAAATCACTCATTTTGCATTTTCTTGGTCACCTGGGCCTACAGGAGAAAATACTTTGTCCAACAGCACAGAACAGCCAGAATTTTATCTCAAATGTCATCAGATGATTTACCTTGAAAAGGAGATGTCCCTCAAATTCACTGGCATTTTAATGAAACCTATAGGCACAGTATTACCTCCCCACCAATACCTGTATCACCAAACCACTAGCCAGCTTCTATTAAAAACAAACAAAAAAATAAAAAAAAAATCCAACCACTCCATTATTTGAATAACTGCAATTTTCTAAGAGTAAAAATAGAAGATATGGTATATGAACAGGGAGGTCTACATAAAGAGCAAAATATTCTCTACAGTGAAGTAAAACCACCTATTCCCATGCTGAATATTTTGTTTACAGCAAAGATTTTCTTCTTCCACAACCACATAACATCATATAACTATTTCTGTCAAAATGCTCCAAAGAACATTAATAATAAATGACTAATTTATTGATGCTGTTCAGAAGCTGTCAAATGAAAAGGAAAAGTTCTCAAATGAAATAAGGAAAGAAAAATGCTGTACCAACTATTGCATTATTGTAAGGACTATTGGTATTTTTCAGTGATGGATAGGACAGAAGAAATGGTGTAACAGCCAGATAAGATGAATCCGCAGGGGAAACACTGAAGGTCTAGGATGGGTTAAACTGAAAGGGATTCTGCTAAATGCCTGTGCCTGAAGGTTTTTTTATCCTGTGAGACACAGCTCTGGCAGAAATGGCAGCAGAAGAATTCAGAGAAGGAGGTGGGTTCTATGACCCCTTACTTCCCCTGTAGTGATGCTAAGATTCTGTGTATATGAACAAGAAGAAAACCTAGAAACACAGAATCACAGGCTGGTTTGCGTTGGACAGGACCTTAAAGCTCAAAGAGTTCCAACCCCCTGCCATGGGCAAGGACACCTTCCTCTAGACCAGGCTGCTCCAAGTCCCGTCCAACGTAGACTTGAGCACTGCCAGGGATGGGGCAGCCACAGCTTCTCTGGGCAACCTGTGCCAGGGCCTCAGCACCATCACAGGGAAGAACTTCTGCCTAAGAGCTCATCTCAGTCTCCCCTTTGTCAGATTAAAGCCATTCCCCCTTGTCCTGTCCCACGGGCCTTTGTTCAAAGCCCCTCTCCATGTTTCTTGTAGCCCCTTTAAGCACTGCAGCTGCTCTAAGGTCTCCCTGGAGCTTCATTTCTGCAGGCTGAACATACCCAAACACTTGCCATTTTAAAAGAAGGGAGAGTAAGCTCAAAGGATTTGTACCTTTAGGCTATCTTATGGAGTATGTAGTATTTAACTTTCCTGCAGAAGGTTCATGTGGCTGCACGCTGATGCATTAAATGCAAATCACAGGTAAGTTTTTTCAAATAGAGTTTGTAGCAGCATGGCAGAGTGAATATTTATTTTCTGTTTGCATTACTAGGTACTACTGGAATGAAATTCGGCTAGAGAGATAAACCAAAGCAGAGGTACACAAATAGCAGCATTCTGACCTGAAACTCAGAATGCCAGACTTTAATTATTTCCTACTTTTTTTTGATGCAGGGGTGAGTGGCATACGGTACTGAGCGTACGCTGGTCATATGCAGGCTGAGGAGGACTACACTCCCTCTTCTCTTCATTATTACTACTGTTTGTAAGTGCATGGCCCCACATCCCCCGTTTCTTCCTGTGTGTATATCAGTTCTACAGCTGCCCCTGAGCTTGTTTGCATCTTTTCATTTTTGGCTAGAACACCTTGACACAGCTGTATGAATATGTAACACATTTCAAAATTGCACTTACTTTACACACTGCAGAATGCCAGAAAAAAATAAAAAATCATTGTTACTGAAGCATCTTTTCACTTCAAATTTCCTCAAAGGTGAGTATATTTTTTCCCTGTCAGGCTGCTGGAATATTTTGATGCAAAATTCTGTGATCTGTTTATCACATCAGGTTCCCACTGAACTGAATTTAAATAGTGCATAATATGATTCTTTTTTTTTTCACCAAGATTACAAGGAATTCAGTAAAGAATATACTGAGACTCCTCTACTGTATACCAGAGGTACGTGAAGTCTGAATTTCACCACTGTCGGTATGCAATTGACATGCTGTCTCTCCCTGCCCATCACCAAGGGAGGAAGGGAGGGAGGGAGGGAGGGAGGGAGGGAGGGAGGGAGGGAGGAAGGAAGGAAGGAGGGAAGGAAGGAAGGAAGGAAGGAAGGAAGGAAGGAAGGAAGGAAGGAAGGAAGGAAGGAAGGAAGGAAGGAAGGAAGGAAGGAAGGAAGGAAGGAAGGAAGGAAGGAAGGAAGGAAGGAAGGAAGGAAGGAAGGAAGGAAGGAAGGAAGGAAGGAAGGAAGGAAGGAAGGAAGGAAGGAAGGAAGGAAGGAAGGAAGGAAGGAAGGAAGGAAGGAAGGAAGGAAGGAAGGAAGGAAGGAAGGAAGGAAGGAAGGAAGGAAGGAAGGAAGGAAGGAAGGAAGGAAGGAAGGAAGGAAGGAAGGAAGGAAGGAAGGAAGGAAGGAAGGAAGGAAGGAAGGAAGGAAGGAAGGAAGGAAGGAAGGAAGGAAGGAAGGAAGGAAGGAAGGAAGGAAGGGTTCTAATATTTATCTGTACCAGTGATAAATATCCACTCTTGTATGTCCTTATCCAAACCAGGCTATGAGCATTCTCCATGTCTCATCACTATTCTGCAATGAATTTGCTAGTATAGTGAAGCTGTCTTACTGTGTGCCTTTAGTTGTTGATCTGATTTAGTAGGGCTCTGCCTTTATTCACCTTGCTGATATTTTTTAATGACAGACTCTTTACTGGAACCCCTGTGGAGCTGTTTGGGAGGGAGGCTTCATGGATATCATTACAGAACATACCAACACACATAAAGCTAAATCTCAGAATGTGAGTGCCCTAGAAGTATCTAATGCTTGTTGTATGCTGAGATTCCAGAGAAAAAGTCCTCCTTAAAATGGCAACATCTGCCATAAGATGAAATCTGTACCTAGGTACTTGAACATTCAAGCACGCACTTTTCTTCTGTTCTTTGATTGTTTCTCTATCAATTTGCAGTTAAGAGGTTTTGCTGTCAAACACCATAATGAAAGTAAAACCTATGACACTGGTGTTATTCAGCCACAGAACACTCACCCTGCTCCTAGACACTATGGATATTTTAAGTTAAAAATACTTATTTGGGCTTTTTTCCTTTTTGTTCAGCTAAAGATATGAACAACATTCCTCCTGTAGATACATAATGAGAAAAAAATGAAATACCTTTCCAAGCTCTGGATGCTCAGTTTACTACAGGCACATAAAGTATTAAATAAATAGACTCAGATGTCTTCTGTTTCTCATTGTCTTTTTTATAAGTAATGTCTAACACAATTATAAAGTCTGGTGGGCTTCTGAAAATATTGTAGAATATCTTAAGTAGTCCTTGGAAAGAACTGCACTTGGAAAGCACACTGAAGAGTGCTGCACTGCAACATTATAGAACTTAGTTGTAACTATGATATCCAATCACCCCAAAGTCTCAGCCTCACTACATACTAAGAAAAAAAGCTTCACAAATCTTGACTTTGTTTATAAGGACCATTGACCTGGCACCTGGTAAGGTAGCTAACTAAAGAAACAGAAGTATTTATTGTAGTAATTAAATTCTAAACACTGGTAAAAAACAACCAACCAACCAAAAGACCCCACGAAAACCAACGACAACAACAAAAAAAATCAATTTATTTTTTTTAGACATTTAAATTGGTTCCATGTGCTGAGGGCTTTTTTGTGTTTGATGGCATTTTGTCCATTTGCTGATCAATTTTTCTCTGAAGATCCAACTAGGTTATTAACATAATATATTGACCAATTAAATAGTACTTTCTTTTCAGACACTGGAAACTGTGATGAAATATCTTAGGACAAAATAAGGATGTGGAGCTGTTGGAGATGCTGTGTGGACTGGAGCAGCTCTGCTCTGGAGACAGGCTGAGAGAGCTGGGCTTGGTTCAGCCTGGGGAAGACAAGGGTCCAGGAGACCTTGGTGCAGCTTCAGTGCCTGAAGGGGCTACAGGAAACCTGGAGAGGGGCTTTGAACAAAGGCCCATGGGACAGGAAAAGGGGGAATGGCTTTAACCTGACAGAGGGGAGATTGAGATGAGCTCTTAGGCAGAAGTTCTTCCCTGTGAGGGGGGTGAGGCCCTGGCACAGATTGCCCAGAGAAGCTGTGGCTGACCCATCCCTGGCAGTGGTCAAGACCAGGTTGGATGGGGCTTGGAGCAGCCTGGTCTAGTGAAATGTGTCCCTGCCCATTGAAGGCGGCTGGAAGAGGATGAGCTTTAAGGTCCATTCCCACTCAAACCATTCTATAAGTCTATGATTCTTAAGATACTTTTACATTTTTATTTCACACCTTTACTTTCGAGACTATGGGGTCTCATTTGCATCATTCCAGTCAAGAAGACCTATGCCTCTCAAACTGTGGATGAACTGAAACTTTCTGCTTGCATGTGAGGTTTTCGTTTTAGCACAGAGGTGTGTTTGTCAAGATATATGCCTGTAAGAGGAGCTAGTAAGTGCCTTTGAGGCCCTCGATTTAAGCATACACATCAAAACCCATGAATACTATCACTGCTTCCAGGTGCAATATTTGAAAAATATTTATTTAAGGTATGATAATTTAGCTTTTGAAAAGAAATTAAATTTATCTTGAATTTTATTATTTTTTTTAAGTACAGCTACTAATTACATAGGATTGAAATTACTATGATTAGCCATTTGGGTGTGCATTTATTTACTCCAGGTAATGCAGTTGCAATTACTAACCCTAGAAACTCACAAAGTTGTTGTTGTAAGTATATATACTGGTACAGTTATAGATATAGGTATAGATATAAATAATAAGGGTAACCATAATAATATGTGGATTGAAGGTGGTAAATCAGGAACTTCTGCTCTCGTAAACCACAAAAATGATAGGAGGAATGTGATGAGGAAAGGATCACACAGGATGCTGTGCCAAAACATCACAGGTCCACAAAGTTACTTCATAGAGAGCAGAATATATACTAAAGTTTTCATTCTTTTAACATGTATTTAGTGGAAGGCATATTATGCATTTTGTCCGAGTTAAAGCCAGTGTCTTTTAGAGAGAAGAAGGAATTATTTATGGTTAGCAGATTGTTCCTCTTTTCATGAAAAATGTCACTTTTAGAGACAGAAT